TTTGCCTGTGCCCAGGTCACAGCCAAGACACCACGAGAGAAAGGTGAAGCTTTGATGGTCAAAGTCTTGCGCGATGCAAACAGTTGCAGGCGTTTAAGGGCTTGCGCTTTACAATTGTTGTCACTACATGGTAATACTTTAACTCAGGGACCATGCCTTCAAGCTGAAGCCGCTGGAGATGTCCGAGACCCTGATCGCGCAATTGAAAGCTGTGGAGATGAAGCTTCAGCACCAAGCGCGAGTTCTTCAGCAACTTGTGAAGAAAGGGAGGAACAAGAATAAGCACTACGCCAACGCCATTTCGGAGGTAGAAGGGGATTAGATACCTTTCCAAAATTGTTCTTCATAACCCAAGTGCATGGCCCTTCAAGTACACAGTATTCCGTGTTTATTGCATGTCCCGCAGGTTGAGAAGTGGTCTGAGGTGGCCAAAGAACGAGTTGATTTGGCCAAGGCTTTGATTAGGGCTGCCGAGAAGTCCAAAAAGGACAAGGCAGACAAGGAGAAGGACCCCAAGTTGTCAAGCTCCACTAAAAGTGGCGGCAAGGCAGCTTCTGAAGGATCTGCTAGCAACGCTAAGTAGGTTTTGATTTTCCTCAAGTCTCAGCCGGACACGCCACGGATGAGCAGCTAGCCCATCTCAAGTATCCCTATATAGGGTTGTAGGTCTATACACAACGCAGAATATAGAGTCTACGCGTTAATGCATTTTCGCTCACCCATGTTTCTCCATTATAGGGTGAGGTGGACTGCAAAGGGAATCTGTGAGCTGATCCATGGCATTTAAGCAAGCTTCGATCATGCGGGATTGCCTGCGTGTTATGGGGACAACGATGCGGAAAGCATGCAAGAAAAACAGACTGACCCAAACGTATTTTGATGGCAACATTCCAGAGCCATACAACTAGTTGCTTGTATATCTGTATATCCCTTCGCAGGCGCAAGTCGCGATCCCGGTCCAGGCCTCCAACTGATGATCGGCAAGAATCCAATGGTGAGTGAGCCTTGGATGATGTTCGTTCAGTTTCGGTTTATAGGGTGCATAGGGTTTAGGGTTTAATTAGGGTTAAGGGTTACCCGAAGCCCCCACGTTTTGGAGCTTGGTTATCTTGAAGGCCCATGTATACTTCCAAAATCTTAGCCCCGTGTATAGGTAATGCTATGTGAGAAATCCCCAAAGACCCCGAGCCATTAAGGGCGGACGATGTTGCAACAGAGTTCTCTGGATGGCTGCTTGGCTTTTGCTTAAGGTTGGCACGCTTTACTGGGAACCAACCAACCATGTTATTACCTAGTTAAGCTAAGGCTTTGAAGTCGTCAAATCTGGGTCTTATTCTGCCCGACGGTTGCTGAAAAAGCTTTGCTCTGGCGCCCCTCGGTATTGACAAGATTTGCTCGCAGTTGGCTTTAGTGCAAATGTATTGATCATCAAGTATGGGGGATTCCAAAGGCTTTGAAATGTTGGTAGTTTAGTTCCTGCGCCCTGCAGAAAACTTCAGCGGCGGAAGTGTGTAGCGATGCACATGGGCTACTTCGAGATGGCATGGACTGCTCGCTAGCATCTCTTCTTTCTAGCTGGGGTGGTTCTGGGCACGATGGCCATGAAGAACGCAACTTCCAAAGGCAAATGCTTCCTTTTGATTGTCCATAGCCCTTAAGGATACTTTAGGGTCTAGGGTTATAAGGGTATAAGGATAGTTTAGGGCTTCGGGGTCTACGGTTTGGGGTAAGGATACTTTAGGGTCTAGAGTTTAGGGTAAGGATACTTTAAGGTTGAGGGTTTGGAATTTAGGGATCAGGGTAAGCATATATACTTCGGGGATTAAGGTTTTGGGATTATATTATGATATATACTTTGAGGATGAAGGTTTTGGGATTATGTTGTGGACTCAATTCTCGCTGGTTCGAGGTGGTATGACAAGCACACACGGATCCCTTTGAGCACCGTTGCTGTTCCACAACTACTTGAAGTTGATGGTTTCCTACGCATCATGGAAAAGGACATCAGCCTACTTTGGCCTTGGGATGTACTTCGCTGGCTACATTTGGAGAATCGCTTTAAGAGTTGGGTTTGCGATGCAGCTGAAACAGCTGAACACATGTGTGCGGAGCCTTGCAAGAAATCAGCCCTCTAAGCCTGATCAAACTAGTCCTTTGGCGGTTCTTGTGTGCATGATGAAAGCCATTAAGGAATACTGGTATCGCTTGAGAGAAGAAGAGTTTACACAGCGGCTACCACTGCTCAATGTGGATGTGTCAAGGCTGCTACCACTGCACTTCCACGTGGACGGGGTCAAAGTGTACAGGACGCAAAAGGCATTTGTGTATTCCTACAGCTCTGCGCTCAGCAAAGGGCCTGTGTTGGAAAGCAAAATCGTACTAGNNAGAAAACACCAATGCCAAGCCGTTGTCACATGATCGCATGGGGGAAATCATCGGATACATCTGCCAAACTTTGCAGTCTGGGAGATTCCCAGCGAAAGATTTCGACGGAAACCCTTTTGCACCAAATTCACTTGAAGCTAAACGAGCAGGCCTGGAGATCATTCCTGGCTGGCGATTCTGCTTTGGAGGCTTCAAAGGGGATTTGGAAGCTCGTGTGATCATCCATAAGTTCCCTCGCAATTATATGTCGAACCAGATATGCGAGCACTGCGCTGCAGGTCGCAAAGTATGTCATTTTCAGGACTTTCGCAGGCAGGCCCCATTCTTCGAAGCGACCTTCACGCACGCCGACTACTTGATCATGACGCCAGAACGGAAACTTTCCTCATGGCTAGCTGTGCCTGGCTGGTCAAAAGACCGAAACCTCGAAGCTGCTGGTAATGAAGGTTTCATCAATTTTGATGTTTACTGTTGCGCTTCAACTTTGTAACCTGAATCTAACCCTATAAACCCTATAAACCCTAACTACCCCCATCGTGCAAACGTGCTCCCTTGTTTGTTGTCGTGTAAGGATTTACTGCACACCCTGCATCAAGGAGTTGCTTGCTGCTCAATTGCTGCTTTCCTGCTTGATCATATTGAATGCACGCATCCTGGTTTGACGCTGGCACAAATGGAAACACAATTGCAAAGCGCTTACTTTCACTACAGATCGTGGTGCCGCCAAAGAAAGGTATCAGCAGCAAGTTTGCCTTTCACGTTGAATAGGTTTGGGAAAGAAAAATGGGCCGCACTCCCCGAACTCTCGACCCAATACAAGGCTAGCAGCGTGAAGGTCATGATGTTTTGGATCGTTGACTATTTGTATGAAAAGATGAACGAAGCAGCGTCTCCTGGGCGCGAGCAAAGGATGTTGGCATCCTACATGTTGGCCAAGTTTCAGCACATGTTGGATATCAACGGGCCCTGGCTGACAATGGAGGACGCCAAGCTTACATCCGAGTATGCGTGGTCTTTCCTGCTGTTTTATCAACAGTTGGCACTCGAAAGCCGGCTTCGTGTGGATGGCAGGCAGAATTACAAGGTGACCCCCAAATTTCACTGTTTCTCGCACATGTTGCTCACAATCCGGCGCACCGGTCGCAATGCACGGCTGCTCGGGCGCTATGTTCGGGGGGTTTAAGGTTTGGAATTCAGGGTTCATCAGTGGCATTTACAGGAGATGAGTTCCCAAAGCGTGTGTTTTTTCCTTTTTTATGAGGGTGTATGTTTAAGGGCTACAAAGCGTCAGGAGATTCAAATAGGGCTTACGTAGGGCAACCTTTTGGCTATTCCTCTGTTAAGGAACCTGCCGTTGTACATTTTTCCTGAAGAATTTCCATGATTTGAACTTTTTGTTGCACAACTAAGTTACGAGCACGTCTACACTGAAGCATCCCTGATGGGGCATATTGGAAGGATCGCTTCTAGGAGCCACGCTTTGACAATGGAACGCACCACTATGCACAGGCACAGGGCTCTTCTAGAGTTGCGCAGCGATATGCCTGATCATGAGACAAGGGGCCGAGCTCCGTGATCTTTCGCCGAGGGCGCCCAAAACAGCGCCACTGTAGAATTGAAGGGCGGGACAAGTAAAAGGCCCTGTACGAAACTATGTAGGAACCCTGTATATGTACCTCAGCGCTTAAGAGATATTGATTTTGGGATTATAGGCTGTATAGGGCATGTAGTATGGGAGATACGGGAGCTTCTCGAAAAAATAACCACCCTTCAGTACGTGACCTTAATATATTTCAACCCTATACAGCTCGGTCCTATTTTGAGAAGCCCCCTGTCTATATGGGGCACGCCATGGAGGCTTTTGCGTGGGGGTTTTTGCAAGTCCCAGGTTTGAGGTTTGGGGGCTTTGGTTTATGGAGTCGTTTGAACTTTCATTGGTTGCAAGGGGCCTGCAGGGCTCTGTAGGGGAGGGTAACTTAAACTAGCTGGGAAGTATATCCGGCAGCTATAGGCTTTAGGGCAGTATAGGGGTTTAGGGCTTAGGGTCCTATAAAGAGTTCTTCCAAGGGTCCTCTACAAGGATCATTGGGGGTATATTTCCCAAAAGAAATCCTAACCAAAAAGGGAGTCTTCTTTATGGCCATTGGCCATTTTTGGGACAGGCGTTTGAGCAATGACGCTTATGAGGAACTACTTTGCAACAAATATACGGCTACATGGGCTCTAGTCCCCCTTAAGTAGATAGAATATGGGTTTGGGTGTATTACAATAAGATCCCCATATATACCCCATATTCTATCTACTTAAGGGGGACTAGAAGGGGTTGCAAATGAGAAGACACAGCAACCACTGAAATTCTGAATCCTGGAAACACTCTCAATCTGCAATTGTGCATTTACGGATCCCCCTAAAGCCCTCAGCCCCTTTAGCCCCGCACCCCATTAGGTTTTGTAGCCGTAAACCCTATATAAGCCTATATACTACATGTAGTGGACAAGCAATCTACGAGCTTATCTTTGGATAAATCTATACCAGGCTTAAAATGTAAAAGCCTATATCCCAGGTATCCCAGCTATAATAAATTGTGTCGTTTGGCGTTTTTTTTGGTGAGTTTTTCTGGCTCAAGATGCGACACAGATGCACGCCAAATGCGCGCCAGATGCGCGCCAGATGCGTGATAAGAGAGCTCATGCAGTTGATTATTGAATTTCTATAGG